TTGGGCTTCAAGCCCCAGGGTCCCCCGGCGGTGCGCGAGGCAAGATGTTGAGGCGCAGCCTGGAAAGCCGGTAACAGCCGGGACCTAGCCGCCCAGGGCCGCCCCCACGCGAGGCGAGGGCTGGGGTAGGCGAAGCGGAGCCTCTGCGCCCCTCTCCCCCTAGGCCGCGGCGTCCGGTTCCGACCCTGAGCTGGAGGCCGCTCGGAGCCCACTGCGCCCTGGGGCCTACCTCCCCGGGGTGCAGTGAGTGCCGCAGCCGAGAGAGCCCGGGCCCAGCCGGCTGCCCGACCCACACCGCCCAGGGCGCTCCGTAAGTCCGGAGGTAGCGGACGCCCGGGCGGCGCAGCGCCCAGCAGCCGCCATCCCTCCGCGGGGAGGCCCACCCCGGGCCTCGGTCTGGGCCTGCGGGGCCCGCATCCCGAGGCCAGGCCTGAATGGGGTCCTGGAGGAGAGCAGTGCTCTCTCCTGGAGATGGGGATCTTTGGGAGGTTTTGCATGCAGACAGCCTGATCGTTTGCTTGCCTAGATGAACGTGCAGCCATCTCATCCCTAAGGAGAATGTTTTGCTTTTTGTGTCACCTTTTTCTCTAGGGACGCTCAAACCAGACAACTGCAAGATGCTGTCACAAATGTGGAGAAACATTTTGGAGAGCTGTGCCAAATCTTTGCTGCTTATGTGCGGAAAACTGCCAGACTGCGAGACAAAGCAGACCTCCTAGTGAATGAAATCAACGTGTATGCCTCTACAGAGACCCCAAACCTAAAGCAAGGCCTGAAAAACTTTGCTGATGAGTTTGCCAAACTTCAGGATTATCGCCAAGCTGAGGTATGGAGTGAGGGCACGCCACTTAAGTAGTGGGCTGAATTTACCTAACCATAGGGGTTAATCCACATTAATAAACTTGGAATTTTCTTGTCAGTAACCTAATGCCTATTGGAGGGAAACCTTTTGTGATTTATCTTGCTATTTCTAAACTTTAGGGCGACTTCTTCCCTCCTCTCCCCCCACCCCCGGGGCTTGAACTCTAGGCCAGGGCTCTATCCCCTGGCTTCTTTTGCTCAAAGCTAGTGTTCTACAGCACTGCTTGAGCCAATGCACCACTTCCAGATTTTTCAGAGTTCATTGGAGATAAGAATTACGGAGTTACCTGCCAGGGCCAGCTCTGAACCGCAGTCCTCAGATCTCAGCCTCCTGAATAGCTAGGATAACAGGCGTAAGCCACCGGCGCTGGGCTTGGGGCATCTTTTGAAGTCTTAAAATTAGCCCACTTCATTTGGCATTTATACTTACAAAGAACAGAAGCGTGCCTTGTGCCTTGCTTGGGTCTATATACCAGATGGAAAATGTTAAGAATGGTAATATTATGAATCAGTGAATACATGGGTTAATAAGATATAGCTGATACTCTGGAAATTTGACCACTGGGGAAGCTTATTTATATCATGAGGCAAACTGCTAGTGAGACCTTGTGAGGTAAGGTCGGGTTGTATTTTTTGTGTGACAAGGGATGAAATACCAGTTTCTGTTTTGTTTTTAATCAGGATCTCACTATGTAATCTTAGGGTGGTGCCAAACATGCCATCTTCCAGCCCCTGCTTCCAGAGTACTGGGATTACAAGCCTGTACTACCACACCCATCGAAAGCATTACATCATTTTAAATTCCATTACTCTTTTTGTAACTTCAATCATCTGGACTTTGGGTTGTTTTGTTTTTGCCTGTTCTGGGGCTTGAACTCTGGCCTGAGTGCTATGCCTGAGCTTCTTTTGCTCAAGGCTAGCACTCTACCACTTGAGCCACAGTGCCACTTCTGGCTTTTTCTATTTATGTGGTATTAAGGAATTGAACCCAGGACTTCATGCATGCTAGACAAGCACTCTACCACTAAGCCACATTCCTACTCCTGTCTTTTGGTTCTTTTAAGGCTGAAAACATAAATGTTAACTATCAAAAAGTAAAATAAGAATATTAATCTTTGAAACCATTACTTCTAATGCAAACAAAAATTTGAGCAGCTAGTAATCATACTTGATTACATTTTGGAAAAAAATGTCCCACATCTCTTCTATAATAAGCAGTTCTCAGATATGTATAACTGGAGAGTTTCAAAACTAATTTATATTCACAGATAATTCTAAATTTTCAGTCAAATAATTTAGCCCTTCTAGAAAAGTTTTTTTGGCAGCACTAGGTTTTGAACTTAAGCTATACCTCCAAACCAGCCCCTCCTTTAGAAAACTTTTATGCTATTTATCAAATAGCAAAGCAACTTGATTTACATTTTTGTTCTTTTATTTCTCTTGCTTACCAAATGGTGCAGTGCTAATGAACAATGACAAAAGGTAGGCAATGAAAGGTAGAACTGAAAAATTTTGAATAACCCTTATACTGGAAATCAACATATGGATTATTAGTGGTATAGACTGCATCCTACAGGATATTTATGATTTTGACTTTAGGCTTCCAACTATTTTATTTTTTGTTTTTGTTGATTGTGGGGCTTTGAACTCTGGGCCTGGGCACTGTCCCTGAGCTCTTCAGCTCAAGGCTAGTGTTCTACCACTTGAGCCACAGTGCCACTTCTGGCTTTTTCTGTTTATGTGGTGCAGAGGAATCGAACCCAGGGCCTCATGCATGTGAGGCAAGCACTCTACCACTGAGCCACCTTCCCAGTCCCTTCCAACTATTTTAAGTGCTTGATGGGAACTTGATTTTTTTTCATAGCCCTACAACCTTTTAAAAGGAAGCATCCATACAACATTTTGTTTACAAAAACTAAGAACTAATATGAAATGAAATGTACTCATTGACTGTGTAAATATGTGTCATTTTAAAAGTTTTTTTCTTGCTTGAAAATAACACCTATTCATGTTAAGCAATATGTCTTCATATTTACTACTTGTCCTGGAAAAAAGTTAATGTCTAAAGTTGTTTTTCTTATGCTATACTTAAATATGTACTTGCCTTAAAAAAAAAGGCTCTTCAGTGTCTTCTATGATCCTTTATGAATTATAAAAAAGGTCAGCCATACAGTTTGAGAGATCAATAACACTAACCACCTTTAAGCTTTTACAACTTAGCAGTGATGCAAAGAAAAATAGTATGGTTGAAACAATAATCTGAAGCTTTTTACTTTTGGATAGTGTTTCTTTTTTTTTAATGTTTCCAGTATGCCATATCTTTCAACTTTAATCTTCCTAGAAGGTTGAGCTATTACAGTTCATACACAGTATCTGACACTGTGGTAAAGATGTTGAAAATGGTGGCTGCCTTAAAATTTGAGTTGTCTTAAAACTTACTAAAAAACTAATACTTTGTTGGGCTGGGAAGGTGGCTCAGTGGTAGAGCGCTTGCCTTGCACGCATGAGGCCCTGGGTTCGATTCCTCAGCACCACATAAGCAAAAAAGAAAAAAGCCAGAAGTGGCACTGTGGCTCAAGTGGTAGAGTGCTAGCCTTGAGCTGAAAAGCTGAGGGACAGTGCTCAGGCCCAGAGTTCAGGCCCCACGACCGGACCCCCCACCAAAAAAAAACTTAATACTTTGAGGTTAAAAAGAACTTTGTAGGGGCTGGGAAGGTGGCTCAGTGGTAGAGTGCTTGCCTTGCATGCATGAGGCTCTGGGTTTGATTCCTCAGCACCACATAAGCAGCAAAAGCCAGAAGTGGCACTGTGGCTCAAGCAGTACAGTGCTAGCCTTGTGCTGAAATGCTGAGGGACAGCGCCCAGGCCCAGAGTTCAGGCCCCATGACTGACAAAAAGAAAAAAGAATTTTGTAGCAAGGATGAGCTCCTCATCATATTTGATGCCAAATGCTTTTTTGTTGTTTGTATCCGGGCTGCTTGCTTGCTCAGCTGGCACTCTATCACTTTAGCCACCAACCTTTTTTCTGGTTAGTTGGAGATAAGCGTCTCTTAGACTTTACTGCTCAGGCTGGCTTCAAAATACAATCCTCCAGATCTCAGCCTCCTGAATATAAGGTATTATCAGTGCCCAGCTTTCTTTTCTGATTTTTGTTTTTGGCCAGTCCTGGGGCTTGAACTCAGAGCCTGGGCACTGTCCCTGAGCTTCTTTTGCTCAAGACTAGAAGGTGGTACAATTACCACCTGAGCCACTTTATGTGGTACTGAGAAATCAAACCCAGGGCTTCATGCATTCTAGGGAAGCATTCTACTACTAAGCTACCTTCCCAGCCCCATCTTTTATGTTTTTAATGTTACTGCGTAGCTTAAGTTTTCAAATGTGTTTGAGTTTAGATTGTGAGTCTTACCAATTTCTGGTGATAATCTGTTAACTCAATGTCTTAAGCAGTGTCATTTTAATTTGAAATTTTTTAAAATATGAACAGTAATTATTTCAGGTTAAACAGCACAGGTTTTATTTCAGTATTTAAGTTTTGATATCTCTTTCTTTTCAGTTATATTTTATAATAATTTCCAATAGGTAGAAAGACTTGAAGCCAAAGTAGTTGAACCTTTGAAAGCTTATGGAACCATTGTAAAAATGAAACGGGTAAGTAAATCCACTTTTTTATGTCATTATTAGTATTCTGGTTGATTGTGAGTTTTCCAACTATAGTTTCAATAAAAATTATAAAGTAACATATAGCAATTTTTTTACATAGCACCGAAAGACAGTTTCTTGCATCATTGAGAATAATGAAATTTTTTAGTATAGTAGTATATTTCTGTAGCAGCAAGGATATTACTATTTAAATTTTAAATATCTAATATTTATAGTAGACAAGTTATCTTAATAAAGGAATATGTCTATATTTTTATTCTAAAGCAGTTAATGAGATTTTTAAATGAGTATGACAAGTATAGTGGTATATGCTTGTTATTTCTGCATTTAGGAGGCCAAGGCAATATTGAGAGTTCAAGGCCAGCCTGAACTACAAGTGAGGCCCTATCAAAGGAAAAAACAAATCTGAATGTAACCATCACTATAATCAAATTATATGTATCTATTTTTATGGTTGTAAGTTGAAATTGTCTCATTTGAGAGATGGCTAAAGAAATAATCTCTCATACATACATATACACATGCATGCATACACAGTATGATGCCTACATCAAAAAGACATTTTTCCATTCTTAAAACAGACTATATTTTATTTCTTAAATCAGACATTTTATTTTAAAATAATGCTATTTTCAGGAGGACCTCAAAGCAACATTAACAGCAAGGAATCGAGAAGCTAAACAGTTAACTCAGTTAGAAAGAACACGTCAACGAAACCCATCTGATCGTCATGTAATCGTATCCTTTGAATTTTTGTCTTAAAAAAATGTTTAAGGTATGCAATATATAGGAATCCTTCCTATGGAAGTTAGGTAATCATAAAGCGATTATCCTATGTAATACAATATCCTTGTATTCTTTTTCCAATAAATTTTCCCAAAAATCCACTCATAAATACAAACATTTGCAGAGTAAGTTCAAAATTGACATTTTTTTTCACATATTAATTATAAAATTAAGGACCTTCCATTAGTACTAATGTATTAATGTCCGCTGCTGTATTTTTGAAAAAAGGAAATAAATCCCACAATAATTCCCTTCATTCTCTAAAAAGAAACTCACATGAAACCAGTTATAATTTTGGGCAAAAAAAAATCTCAAGGGTAGAACACTTAAGAGTATAACGAAGTCCAGAAAGAGCACAAAGGGACCCAAATAGGAATATCTACTATAATAAGGTTCTTTTGGTAAACACAACAAGCTCTTAAACTAGAATGTGCCTTGTTCATGGCTAACAAAAATATAGAATAGTTGCTAAGTGTTAGCAACGAGGACTGCATAGAAAGCACTAACGTATCCCTGCTACCTCTTTTTCCCTCTTTTTCTTCCTTACATGTATCTCCTTCCTACTTCCTTAAGGTTGTTAACTACCCAGCTCAGCCAGAAACCACATATGAGGAGTGGCTCTTTGGGGGCATTTGAGGTTCCAGAACACCTCCATTCCTGAAGGGAACCCTTGAGCAGTGATTTGGGGGCTGGACCAATTGTCAGGTCCTTCTTCCTGTGGACCAAAGGTATATAAGCCCAACCTCATATTAAACAAAAATGGGCAGCTATAAGACTAGGAATGCCTATCGGAGGCTGGGACAGAAACATCTAGCCAATTATTGAGACTTAAAACCTCAAACTGGAAATTATAGTCTGTTGTTTTGTTTTTTTTTTAATCAGGCAGACCAGAGAATGGTGGAAAATTCATGACTGACACAAATCTCCCTCAGGCACAAGCCAAATTAGTTAATTAAGAATTAAGCCAGAGATAAAAATTGTTTTTTCCTAGGGACAGAGGTGTGTAAAAGCAGGTAGAATGTAACATCTTGCTTGAGCAGTTGGTAACTGAATATTCATTTTGGCACAATACAGAAAGAAAGGTACTTTTAAGACAAAGACTTCTGTGATGCTCTGTTAGAAGCACTGCTGTGGAGCACATGCTATAACCTGTGTGAAACCAGTCTGGGCTCACTAGAGGGAAATAGATACAACCACCAGAGATTATAGTTAGAGGTCAACTGACTTGCTCACTTGGTCAAGATGTCTACAACTTGGGGGTTCTGATGATCTGAAACCAGAAAATATAGCATATATTTTTACTAAGAAAGACCCTTAAAATTCAACTTATTATTCAGAAATATGTTAAAGTCCTCTGGTTGAAGAAAAGAAATCTTTAGGGTTCTACCTCCTTACCTCTAAGGAGAGCCCAAGGTGACTTCTGCACAAGTTTCTTGTAACAGTTTGAAAAGGACCAGCCTTTTTTTTTTTTTTTGAAAAATGCTAAAAACAGAGGGTTACAGTTATATAAGTCAGGCAAAGAACATTTCCTTTTGGATGTCATCATATCCCTTGCTTTCTTGTTTTCTAGCACCAGTTCTGTTCCCATTTTATAACTCATTTGAAATCCCCTAATTCCATTGAATATACTGATAACTGCATTCATTGAGCTATATCTTAAAATTTTAGTTAATACCAGTAGCTACGCATATTGGTGCATTCTAAAGTTCTGAAGAGTTTTCAGTAAAATGAAGAAATACTAGAAATCCATATGCTCTTTGCTAAAACTAGCTATGTGACTGGGTAAATTGCTGTGCTTATACAAAGGGATTTCAAACTTCCAGAAATAAAGTTGCCAGAGGGTGATAAAAGGTTAAGATAAATAGAACCCCAATTGTAGCATCTGCTTCCTCAAGCTTTACTATGTTAGCCAACTCTGTGTGTGTTTACAAATTTAAAATTAAAATATCAATAAATGAGGGAAGAGTCAAAAACAAATAGTCAAACAACAATTAGAAGGCAGTCTGCTTGAACTGTCTTTGCAAAAGGTGAGCAGACATCACATAAATGAAATTTTACATAATAAACATTCTTATCTGAATGAGCTTATCTGCTCTATTTTACATTTGGACTCCTTATATAAAGAATTCCAAGTCCATAAAATAGATATAATCGAATATATGTGTATTTAGTATCTTGAAATTGGGTGCTTAAGCTAATTGTAAGAGTATATAATTCTATAAAGGTACAAGATTTTAATTTATTGAAAAAGTTATTCTATTTGAAATGCATTTTTTCCTTTATGAAAAATTTCAGTCACAGGTGGGCAATAAAATGGTGTGTCAAGACATGGATCCTAATAGTAAACCCTTTCACTTGTTTCAATTTATATATTCCTTGGAAAAGAATGCAGTGGCCAAATGCTAGAATTATTACATGTTGCAGAACTTTTTTTTAGAACTTTGAATGTAATTTTCCCCACAATTATTGAATGATGACATTTTGATCAAGTATAATAATAGCATAAAGAAGAAAACATTTTTTGGAATTAATTTTATCAGAAAATTGGGCTTTTACAATCTGTTACTACTTAAGAAAGCATTCTAATGTTTAGTGCAACTATTGTTTGAAGGGTAAGTTTAAAGAGAAATATATGAATAAATTGGAAATGTTCTGCACTAAGTAGTCCAATAGCTACTGTATATAACTGTTTCGTTCTTGAGATTCAATTAGAGTAACCTATGAACCAGTTTTTACATTTTTTCTAATTTAAATGTAAATAGTCATTTGTGACTAGTGACTACCATATGGATTGCACAGCACAGATCTAAATAGTATAAGTACATTAGCATGTGTAAATCAAAACTTGCATATATGTGGGTGTGTGTATGTGTGTGTATAAAGCCATAAACTGAATAAAAACACATTATTGTTGGCTTGTAAGAATCCATAGTAGAATCTCATGCTGAAATGTTTGTAATATATAACTCTACTTCGTAAGAATAATATAGAAGTATTAAATGTAGCCAGATGTGATGGTACACTCTTGTAATCCCTGAATTCAGGAGATTGAAGCACTACAATTGTTGAGGTCTAGGTTAGCCAACTTAGAAGCATTAACATTTTTCTATGCTTTTGAAGAAGTATTAAAAGGAAGTAAGGGCTGGGAATCTGGCTTAGTGGTAGAATGCTTGCCTACCATGCATAAGCTCTGGGTACCACATAAACAGAAAAAGCCAGAAGTGGCACTGTGACTCAAGTGGTAGAGTGCTAGCCTTGAGCAAAAAGCTCAGGGACAGTGCTTAGGCCCAGAGTTCAAGCCCTAGGACTGGCAAAAAAAAAAAAGGAAGTGACTTCAGTTATATATTTGCTAGTTTCAAGCACTTCAATGTTGTAATGGTTTAAAAAATTAATTTTCAAAGCCGGGCGCTGGTGGCTCACACCTGTAAACGTAGCTACTCAGGAGGCTGAGAGCTGAGGATCAAGGTTCAAAGCCAGCCAAGACAGGAAAGTGCGTGAAACATGAAACTTTTATCTCCAATTAACCACCAGAAAACGGGAAATGGCGCTGTGGCTCAAGTGGTAGAGCACTAGCCTTGAGCTGAAGAGCTGAGGGACAGTGCCCAGGCCCAGAGTCCAAACCCCACGACCAACAGAAAATAAGTAACTTTCAGTCATGAAAACTGATCTCTATAATTCTTTCTCCTGTCTGCTCCTCTCAGCCCTTCACAAAGATTGTTTTGTTTAATCCACACAATAAGATATAAACTTTTTTCCTTTGGAATAAACTTTATTGTATTTTATAGATTGGGATGTTGGAAATCATTAAAATAGTTGTTAAATCATAATCCCTTTCTTTGGAGAAGAATGAGGAAAAGGGGAGCTAGAAGAAAAATTATGATAAATGACACAGAGGAAGCATAGAAGACATGGAAAATGCTTTTAGTGGACTGGGAAGGTGGCTCAGTAGTAGAATGCTTGCCTTGCATACATGAGGCCTTGGGTTTGATTCCTCAGTACCATATAAGCAGAAAAAGCTGAAAGTGGCACTGTGGCGAAGTGGTAGAGTGCTAGCCTTGAGCTGAAGAGCTGAGGGACAGCACCCAGACCCAGAGTTCAGGCCCCATGACTGACAAAAAAGAAAAAAAAAGTTTTACTATAAATTATCCAAGATAGGAAAAAAAATACCTTTAGAGAAAGGGAAGGATTTTATTTTCTTTGAGATCATTAATCATGTCATTTAAAGTTCTTTAATATGCATTTTTAATTCTATAGATCATTTTATTCTATCTGGTAAAATAGTGTTCAATTATTTACAGTTATGCCAAAAAGCCAGGACTCTGAATATTTACCAATAAACTTATCTAATTTCATCTCTGGTTGGGGAATACTTTTGTAGGCAGAAACTGAATTACAGAGAGCTACAATGGATGCTACCCGAACAACTCGTCATTTAGAGGAAACTATTGACAATTTTGAAAAGCAGAAGATAAAGGATATCAAGGTAAGTAAGTAACTGTTAAGGCTCAAGACATGTTTTCTAACCTCATTTTTTATTTAAATTTGTGAAAAATGTAACTTTCTGATTTAGCCCATAATCCTTAGCAAAAAAGGTACAAGTGAAAAATATGTTATTTTCCTATGAACACAACAGTATGTAAAGGGGCTACAGTCCCAACTAGATGCCAGACTTTTATCACCAATACTATTACATTAAGTTTTTATCATCAGTAGTAGCCCTGTGGAAGTGATAAGTTATTATGAAATTAAGCAGAGATGTAATTTACCCAGAGTACAACATCCAGAAATGTTCTATAAATCAGTATTTTTCATCTGTGCTGTTTATTATAATACATTGTCACTAATGTTTTTAATATCCATCTTTTATCCAACCATAATTTGGAACCACCACAAAAATTAATTGCCTCAATTTTTAAAATATCTATAGCTTTGAGACGTTTTGCAGCATCATAGAATTCAAAAGGCTTAAGTGAAATTTATTTTTAATCATCTTGAAAGATCTGAAATATTGTGACCATCTTACAGAATTTTTACAATAAATACAGGTAGTATACAGATATCTTTCTTGTATATTCATTTAGTTTCCCTCAAGTTTCTGCCAACAAGTGGTATAGAGGGTCATAAGATAGATCTATTTTTAGTTCTTTGAGGAAACTCCATATTGATTTCCATAGTGATTGTACTAGTTACATTCCTACCAGCATTGTTAAGAGGGTTCCTTTTCCCTCCATTTCCCATATCCTCAGGGCATCTGTTGCTGTTTTCCTGATAATTGTCATTTTACTGGGGCAAAACATTTCCTTTATGGCTACGAATATTGAACATTTCTTCATGTATCCATGAGCCTTTTTATTTTCTAAGAACTGGCTGTTCAGTTTGTCCATTTATTAATTGGGTTGGTTATTATCAATGTTTTGAGCTCTGTATATTATTATTTTGTATATTATAGCTATCCTTTGCCTGTTGAACATTCAAAAACCAGTGGCTTTTCTATGTACCAACAATGAAGTGACTGAGAAAGGAATCAGGAAAACAATTCCTCTCACACTACCATGAAAAAGAGAAATACCTAAGCTTAAACAGTATTTTTGGTTTGGATTTTCATTGGGTAAACTGGCTGATTCATGAGCAAGAAACACAAATTTAATTTTAATTGCTTCATTTTTATTATAAATACAAGTTTTTCATAAAATTATAGAGAAAAATCCAGTACTCTCCTCACTCAAAAGAGTTACTTTTTTAGCTTATCTTCCAGACTTTTTCCTATGCATGTACACAAAGCTGCAATAATAACATATCTCATTGGACTCAAGCACTGTATGCACTCACCCTATTAGGAAAACACTACTATTATCCCATAGTTTTAAGTAAACAGGACTGTTTCATTTCTTAAAAGTTTAATGACATGGAGCTGGGAGTCGGTGGCTCTTGCCTATAATCCTAGCTACTCAGGAGACTGAGATTTGAGGATTGCAGTTCAAAGCCAGCCCAGGCAGGAAAGTCTTATCTCCAATAAACCTCTCAGAAACCATAAAGACTTCTATCTCCAATAAATCTCTCACAAAACCAGAAGTGGGGCTGTGGCTCAAGTGGTAGAGCGCTAGCCTTGATCTGAAGAGCTGAGGGACAACGCCCAAGCCCAGAGTTCAAGCCCCACGACCAAAAAAAAAAAAATTAATGACATGGATATATTCCTATTGAGAAATAAAAGAGCTATATCTTCATTTTTTATATCTTCATAATATTTTACAATATGTTTAACAAATCTTGATTGGGTGAAACCTAAGTATTTTTATTTGCAACCATAGATGATTCTGTCATTAAACATGAATATTTGCCTTTGTGCTGATCCAGTGATTCTCTTGGAATAAATAGGCATTCCTAGGTTCATAAATCAGAGACTAGATTGTAATACCTGCTTTAAAAACTTCTGTCTACAATGGACAAGCCAGTTTCTGCCTCTACTAGTCTTTTCATGAGTATATATGAAGTAATGATTAGTAATAGTAACAGCCAATCTGCTGGGTAAAAAACAGTATCTCATTTCTTTTCACAATTTTCATTGTCAGTACTATTGAGGGTGAGTGTTGTTTCATATATCTAGTAATACATTTATTTCTTTGTCTAACTTCTACTTGGGTATTAGAATTTTTCTGTTTATATTATTATTTCTTTATATTGAGAATATAACCCTTTTTATTAATAGATATTCAAATGCATTAATATATATTAATATATAATTTGTATATATTAAATACATGATATACTTATATTACAGGCTTGTTGCACATTTTCATGTAATTTATATAACAATTTATAATACTAATATGTATAGTAATTATATTAACTATATTAATATAAAGTATGTTGTATACTGTCTATGTTATTGTTTGCTCTCTTAAGGCTTTATTTTTGTTTCAAATATATTGATTGGTCTTTTTGGTTTTCTACCTTGGTGTTATGGCAGACAGGTTTTTTTCATACTCAAGAATATATATTCGCTCATATTTTCTTTCAGTATGTTTTATGTTGTTTTAAAACATTGTGCTTTTAAAAGAAATACGGTAGTCAAGCAACAGTGGTTCATACCTATAATCAAGCTGCTCGGAGGCTGGAATATGAGAAATAAGATTTGAAGCTAGCTCATGCAGAAAAATCCAAGAGACTGTTTTCCTCAATTAACAGTCAGTCAGAACTACAGGCATGGCCCAAGTGGTACAGCACCAAATGTTTTGAACAAAAAAGCTGGGCCAGGACCTGAGGGGGCATAAAAAAAAGTAAACATTTCAATTTTCTGCTTACTAACCAAATGGAGGCTCTAATACTAGTTGACCAGAAATATTTTCTCTTCTTCTCCCCGCCACCCCCGTCATGGGGCTTGAACTCGGGGCTTGGGCACTGTACCTCAGTTCTTCAGCTCAAGGCGAGTGCTCTACCTCTTGAGCCACAGAGCCACTTCCAGTTTTCTGGAGGTTAATTGGAGATAAGAGTCTCATGAACTTTCCTACCAGGGCCTTTGAACTATGATCCTCAGATTCATTACAGGCATGAGCCACCAGCACCCAGCAGAAATATTTTCTAAGTTAGCTTACTTACTGCTTGTGCACTAACAGCTTCCACACTCCTTGAGGGCACCTGATTCCTTTCCTCTAGGAACTTAGGGAGACTAACACCTAAAAACGTTCTAGCCCAGTCAGTCAACCTCTAAGGTATCTGAAAATCTATCTTAGCATAGTGCTGTTTATTATAATAGTTGCTAGTCCAGTATACTATATGCCTCTAACCTATATAGAATAACAGTATGGTCATTATCCATAGTTACATGTCTCTCAGAGCATAATATTCTCTCACATCAGTTGGAATTATTAAAGTTTCAGAACTTAATTCAAATACTTATAGGCTTGTGGTATCAGGGTATATAGTACTAAATAACAGTCCTTTTATCACAAATGTTAATCAGCAGGTATTAAAAGAACTTGCTGGTGGCTCACACCTGTATTCCTAACTACTCAGAAGGCTGAGATCTGAGGATCATGGTTCATAGCCAGCCAGGGCAGAGAACTACCAGAAAACTGCAAGTGGCGCTGTGTTTCAAAGTGAACAGAGTACTAGCTTTGAGCAAAAGAGCTCAGGAACAGCACCCAGGTCCTGACTTCAAGTCCCATGACTGACAAGAAAAAGAAAAGAAATACTTGGTATAATTTTAAGGACTTGCTTTAAAAGATCTTTATAACTATTTTTAATTATCATGTCTTTTTTTTTTTGTCGGTTGTGTGGCTTGAACTCTGGACTTGGGCACTGTCCTTGCACTCTTCAGCTCAAGGCGAGCACTCTACCACTTGAGCCACAGAGCCACTTCTGGTTTTCTAGTGGTTTATTGAAGATAAAAGTCTCATGGACTTTACTGCCCAGGTTGGCTTTGAACCACAATCCTCAGATCTCAGCCTCCTGAGTAGCTAGGATTATGGCATGAGCCACTGGTGCCCAGCTAATTATCATTTGTCTTAGAGAAAAACATTTACTTTGGTTTTTCACAAAATGCCAAGACTACAGGGGGGAATACATTTACTAAATTCATCAAATGATTTAAATGATTTTTTAAACTCAAATCTTTTTTTTTTTAGAATATATTTTCAGAATTTATCACTATCGAAATGTTATTTCATGGCAAAGCTTTAGAGGTCTACACTGCTGCCTACCAAAATATACAAAAGATTGATGAGGATGAAGATTTAGAGGTAGGACCATGTCTAAGCTCAGTCCTTCTGCTATTATGGAAAATATTTAAAAGAGAGCTGTTTGTATGGGTAAAAATAACCAGAACACTGCAATGTTTTAAATTATTGTGTGTGATCCAAATAGCTGGACCTTTTCTAATTTCTCATTTTTGTCAGTTTGATTTACTGTAACAAGCTTCCTACTAAGGTGAAGGTTTCTTAATTTTCACTCCTTTTCATATTTTTAAAAATAGATGGTCAAGTCTTTGTATGTCATTTGTATAGTAGCAAACACTTACATGATTTCCTCATTGCAACTATGTTATTTTAATCCACCTACTAATATTGATAAGCACTTAACTGTCCTTATTTGGGTGAGAAAATTGATGCACATTGAAATTAAAAACATCCCAGACCAGCCAGAACTCTTGACTATAATGATATTTTTAAAGCTCTCTACACAAGACTACAAGGAATATAGTTCTAGATGAGTAGTAAGAACTGTTTCTTCCAAGAAACACCACTGCATTGGGGGATAGATTTAAAAATGATCCCCTACTTTTTCTGTAAGACTGGGATCACTTTTACGAGTACTTCCTTTCTCCCTTTTCTAACACCCTTGATGTGCCATACTAAAGTCCCTTCAAGCTCTTACAATTATAATTGAGAAAGTAGTTTGTTTTATCAAAGCAGGAATTTAAAATCTACCAAGGAGTTAGCTATTTTATTGTAGTTTTTTTAAAAAAAATTTAATGCAACCAGTTTATGTGGAGGGTCCCAAATAGTCTTGAAAATCAAAGAAGCTTAATGGAGAACTTTTGAGGTTGACAGCATAGATACACAAAGGTCCTGTAGCAGGCTGTCGTAAATGAAGAGCAATGTGTTTAAATACTGAAAATGGTACAGGACAAGCATTTGTTGAGCAAAAAACCATAGGCCTGAACTGTTATTATATCATCCAGCAAGTGAAGTAGAGAAGTATAAAGGTGTGTGATCAAAGGAAGTAATATTGAAGAGGTCACAAAAATAGGAAGGATCTTATGAACACAATTTTCTTGGAAACAATAAGTGAAAACAGTCTGAGAGGGACAGAGAAATAACTTGCTTTCCTTTTAGGTAATCCATGTTTTATTAGAACCACTAAAATTTATTCCAGCAACAGCAAACTTGGTGCAGTTAAAGCACTCTAGTTATAATTATAAGCCACCTTACCTTATTTGTTCTTTACATAAAAAAGTATTTGTCTGCTCCTTTTTCCCCTTCAAAAGTCACTTCTGTGCAGTCATTTCAGAGATACCATGTCTTGACATTCAGTCCTAGAAGAGATCTTAGATTGTTTTGCAAATGTATTACTGCCAATAAATTCTTCCTGCAATTTTAATTTTAGGAAATACTTAACCGATTTAGATTCTTAGCCTAAGAGCTCCATATAACCTATTTCCAACTTATTTCATCTTTGCTAGCAAAGTTTAAAAAGGGATGTTCAAACAAAAATAGATCCTTTCCAAATAGTAGTTGCTTAATGAGTCATCCAGTTTTTATATCACATCTAGATGCCAGCATTTTAAGACACTGGCTTCAAAACAGAATTTGAGCCAGGAAGCAGTGGCTCATGCCTGTAATCCTAGCTACTCAGGAGACTGAGATCTGGAGGATCACCATTCATTGTCAGCCCAGGCAGAAAAGTCTGAGACTTCACCTCCAAAATCAGCACCAAAAATCTGGGCTGGAGGCATGGCTCAATTGGTATAATATCACCAGCCAAACAAGCAAAGCAAGTATGAGGTCTTGAGTATAAACTCCAATATAGGCATACAAACATACACAAATAAATTGGTCCTCCCTCAATAACCTGCTCACATATCTAAATTGTCCTAGGTTACAAGTTTTATCTCCTACACTTTATCCTTTGATTCCTTTTGTGTTCTTCAGTTCTCTTAAGTTTAAAGGACTGTGTATGTGGAGCCATCCTTTAGTCTGAGTCTCCCTTTTCCCCCCACAACATGGAAACTGAGTTTATGATTAGTGTCATTAATTTTGCAAAAGTACATTTAACACCATCTACTTTGAAGTTGCAAAGATGAAACAGGGTTCCTTGCGCTAGAGGTGCTCAAGACTAGTTGTTGGAGACTGGTAATTAATGAATTAAAAACAATGATATGGTGATTCAAGCCTGCAGTCACAGCTACTTGGATCAGGAGGATCGTAGTTCAGCCCATCTGAATTCCATCTCAACCAATAAACTGGGTGTGGTGGCACCTTTGCATCTCAGCTATTCAGGAAGCATGAATAGAAGAACTAAGTTCAGGCCAGCCCAAGCCAAAACAAAAAATTCTATCTCAAAAATGATTTGGGGCCCAGCTCAAGTGGTAGAGGTTTGCCCAGCAAGCATGAGAGGCCAGGTTCAAATATCCCAGCATTGTCCCAAAATATGTGATATATAACTATTCTTGAGGGCACAGTGGGAGCTATTGACTAGAGAACAAAGGAAAACAAAAGACATCATATGACTTAGCTCTTGAGTAAGTTTGCTGCTATCCCAAGCTATGGAACTGGATTACAAAAACAATATAACAGAGGGTCTGTATGTAGGTTCTGCACATAGGCTAGAAGTGAAGACTGATAAATAAGCTTGATATCCCTTAAAGCATTTGGACTCTTGATAGCCAAGAGCCACAAGTTTGATTTTTCAGTAGAGAATATATTTTGGCACTCAGTAAAATAAGTCTAACTGTAAAGAAGCTACAATTTTTTAAATGTCCATAATCAGTAAATTCAAATAGAAGTACCTCAGGTAAAAAAAAATTTAGAGCCAGACACCAGTGGCTCACGCCTATAATATTAGCTACTCAGGAGTCTTGAGATCTGAGGATTGCAGTTTGATACCAGCCAGGGCAACAAAGTCTGTGAGACTCTTGTCTCCAATTAACCACAAGAAAACCAGAAGTGGCGCTATGGCTCAGGTGGTAGAGTACTCACCTTGAGCTGAATTGTTGAGGGACAGCACCCAGGCCAAGACTTCAAGCCCCACAACCGACAAAAATAAAAATAAAATTTTAAAAAATTAGGGATGCCTAAGGTTATAGTATGGCCTACTACTAGCTGGAATGTTTTTCGTTGTAGAATTGAATTTAGAGCTACACTGTCCAATACAAGAGCTAGTAGGCTTATGTAGCTAAGGTTAAATTAGTTCCTTATCCACATGAAATTACATTTCAGATGCATACTAGACACATAAGGAATATCAATAAGGACAATAAGGAATATCAAATATTACTACCATTTTATAACTTCGCCGGACAGTGCTGGAGCACGAATACGGCTTCCTGAAGAATGTATAAAATATACATAGAACTAGCTTGTTAAGGGTCATTATTTTTAAATGACCTATGGGGAAGCCTTAGAAATATTTAAAGTTAACAGTAAGATAGATATATTTAATGTATAGCACAATGCAAGAGTTTAGTGATGGGATTGGGGAAGATGAAGACAAAATGGATTTTGGCAAGAACAACTTTAGAGAAGGGTAAAATCCCAATTAGTTGAATGGAGATGAAATAGAATGCTTGAGAAGTTTTTCAGTTACATCTAATAGAATTTTTTTAAAAAATGACCAAACTTATGCTTGTTTTCTAAAGGAAGGAACCTGTGGGGAAAAAGCGGGTTTCCACATTTGATGTTGAAGATGAAGGAAAAATGTACGCTGAAAAGGATTAGAATGGTGATGATTTTCAAAACAATAGGGTGAGAAGTTTTGAGGAAGAAGGAACTGAATATATACCTGTTACTCTTACCTATTAATCTGTTCAGAGAAATGGGAGAAGAGAAACAGGGAAACTTAAGACAGTAAGATTTGAAAATACCACTTTCAGGAAACTGAACTGACAAATCATGGTAGTTTAGTCCTATGAGGTTGGAATTCATAAACTGTAGTGAGTGCAGTGTACTCTTAGGTACTTTTTCCTTAGCAGTAATGCAGTGGCATTACAATTTGTAATTGACAGGCAAAACAAAAAAGAACCAAAAGTATGAACCATTGCTGCCATTCTAGCTTGTATACTTTAAGAGTCAAGACTTCTGTAATTCCCTGGCAAAAACACAAGCGTTTCTTCTATGGCTATTTTTTTCATCTTTTCATCATATGTGGCCGAAATAGAATCTTAGCCTTCACTTTTCTAACTTAAAATGATTTTTAGGGTGGGAATGTGGCTTAGTGGTAGAGTGCCTGCCTAGCATGCATAAAGCCCTGAGTTTGATTCCTCAGTACCACATAAATAGAAAAAGCCAGAAGTGGCACTGTGAAGCAAGTGGTAGAGTGCTAGTTTTGAGCAAAAGCAGCTCAGGGACAGTGCCCAGGCCGAGTACAAGCCCCAGGACTGGCCGGGGAGAGGGGGAATTTTAATTTTTTTTTCCTCATGAAGTTACTTAATAAGTTTTATCCTTGGGGTGGTACTTAAATCTTAAGTGAAAGGAACTTCATTTGGTTATTCATATCTGTAACATTGTTTTATCATTGCAATAGGTTTTCCGAAATTCTCTGTATCCACAAGATTATTCATCTCGTTTAGATATTGTAAGAGCAAACTCAAAGTCACCTCTTCAGAGATCACTGTCAGCTAAGTGTGTATCTGGAACAGGTCAGGTGAGCTAAACTGTTGGTTAAAGGATTTTGTGCTTCTGCTTTGAAATTGTTTAGTACTAAAGATGTTTACCTTGAGTCATATGACCTCATAGTTTTCTGTAGAATGATGCACTTTATGTTATTTCACTATAATTACACACTGCTCAAAACAGAAAGAACATTTGAAACAGGTAAAAAAACAGAGAAGGCTAATGTAGATGTTATCTTAACATGAACAGCATAAATTCTAAAGAAATTACACTAAAAATGGATTATGGATCCAGAAACACGGCTTTTTAGAACACAAACGTCCTCATTTTTTTCTGTGTCCAGAAGTTCTGAAATGGACCCGGACTTGTATTATAGTTCTTCATATAGCTCTTCCTATCTAGTCTTCAAATTTTGAAATAAATATTTTCAAAAGTTTTTAAAATAAATGACTCAAAACCTTTTTTTATTTATTAGCACTCATTTCCTTCTCTGTAATCAAAGTACCAACACCTCATGAATTCCATTTAGTATTACATGTGAAGTTTTGATTATTTAAACCTGAGTTGGCTAACAATTACAGAAATTTGGAATGTTTTAAGAGTTTTCAACCTTAGCTCTATTGACTTGGTTTCAGGTGTGGGAGACTGTCTTGTACATTGTGAAGATATAGAGCAGTATTCTTAGACTCTACCCACAAGATAACAATAGCACAAACACATTTACAATGGTGACGATTACCAGTGTCTTCAGACATTGACAAATGTCTTCTAGATTATACTCACCCTTAGAGAGAGGGTCCTGAACAAGTGAAGAGTCAGGACATACAGCTGATGTATCAGATCCTGATCTCATTGCATTTGAATCACCATACTTTTTTTTTTTTTTGTCGGTCGTGGGGCTTGAAGGCGAGCGCTCTACCACTTGAGCTACAGCGCCACTTCCGGTTTTCTGGTGGTTTATTGGAGATAGGAGTCTCACGGTCTCTCCTGCCCAGGCTGGCTTTGAACCGCGATTCTCAGGTCTCAGCCTCCTGAGTAGCTAGGATTACAGGCGTGAGCCACCAGCGCCCGGCTGAATCACCATACTTTTATTCCATTTAAATCACCATACTTTTTTCCATCACTATCCCACTATCTCACTGCTTGAAGTACCTTTGTTTTTGCCATCTATTTTTTTTTTTGGTCCGGTTGTGGGGCCTGAACTCTGGGCCTGGGCGCTGTCCCTCAGCTCTTCAGCTCAAGGCTAGCGCTCTACCACTTGAGCCACAGTGCCACTTCCGGCTTTTTTCATTTTGCTTATGTGGTGCTGAGGAATCGAACCCAGGGCTTCAGGCATGCAAGGCAAGTGCTCTACCACTGAGCCATCTTCCCAGCCCTTTTGCCATCTATTTTGTTTCTTCAAGAACTGCTTTTGTACCCCAAGAATTGTTTGCCTTATTTGTACCTTCATAGTATTACTGTACATATTCAAAATGGTTGTAATGTCACATATATAATACATGAAGACCTTTTCAACTTTAAAATATAACCCCCCCCAAAAAAATATATATATATAGTTCATAGGAAATATTCACTATTAAAAACTATTACATTTGGACATTTTTTGAAATATTTGTTCTTTGTGCCTTTTCCTATAAGTAAATGTGAAGTAAATGTGATGAACATATTTTAATACATTTTAATGTGCTTATTCTTAACAGATACCCACTTGTCGACTAAAAAAGGATCAACAAGCAGATGACGATGATAAAGATGATGAAGACTTAGATGTTACAGAAGATGAAAATTAAGTAAACTCTACATTTCCATTTTCATCTTGAAAATGACATGAAATCCAGTATTACTAAATTATAAAACCTTCAATTCACTCAACAGGTAAAACCTCAGAATGAAATCCTAAGAAATGAGAAAATCAATTAAAGGAAATTTATGACTAAAAAGTTTAAAATATTATACACCAATTACCTGAACATCCTAACCATCACTTTGATTTTTTTTTTTTGGTATCGGCTCCACTTTAAAGAAAAAAAGATTACAAAATATGTCAAATTATTTCATTATACCTAAAGTTGCAACAGTTATGTAACAAAAGATCTAACAACTATTAGCTTCCTTTGGGTTATGATTGATTCCATGTTTTCAACACCAGTTACTTAACAAATTGTTCTTCATCAACCTTTAAGAGCTTTTACTTTTATACTTTTGGTAAAACCTTATACTATTCCATCACTTGATATGTAAAATCGACACGATTGGGCTTCATTTTAGCTTTCTAAAGTACACCCAACCTGATTTTAGTTTTTTACAACACAACTGCTATTATTATATATGATAATGTAACTTGGTAAGCAAGTAGTTGGAAAATTCTTCATCCTGGAACATTAAAAACTTTAAAAAAAATGGCCAGGACATTAAGATAACAGGTTAATACTTTATTAAAAAAAAAAAAAAAAAGAAGCCAGATCCTTGCAGTGTATCTTTCTTTAGGTAAGGAATACTTTGGTATATAATGGATCCCAATTAGGCATATAAAATTAAACAAATCATTTGGGATCACTGGAAAAAAATATTCACAATGGTAAAATAAAGACTTTCTAGAAAGCTGACTTGTCAGTTTTTTTTTTTAAACAAAGTACTGCTCCTAAAAAACACTTAGTATTTTTAGGAAGCTGAGGCTATGAATGGTTGGTTTAGGAGATTTTTCTTCTGTGTTTAAAGTCTGGTTACTTACTAAATAGTAACTTTCTGGACCATCAGTTGTCTCATCTATAAAATTCAGACAGTACCTAATTCATAATCAACACATAATTTAGGAATAAAATATAAATTCTTCCTACTTCAAAGCAATATTTCACAAACAGGAGAAATAGTATCAGTGAGAAAACTTTCACCAATGTAAAATTAAATCCCATTATAATTTAATCTAGACTTAACACTTAATTTCTAAGGACCAAGCAAATATTTTATATTCTGTGGGTAGAAGCAAAATCAAGGACATAGTTACTAAGCCATTTAAGATGGAACTAAACTTAAAGATATAAAAACCATAATTATTAAAAACACAACAAACCCACTCAACAGCATGTAGGCCTTCACTTCTTATCTCCAAAATAGGAATACATTAGGATTCAGAATTATTTAATGCCAAGAAGAAGAGAACAGGGTCACAGCTTAAGTTTAGATCAGTGACATTAGAGCATTCCTACCATGATTCTTACCTATGTCTTGATTATAGGATTGTTTACTTTCTAGAAGTGATCTAATATTTTTGACACCTAGACAAAATGTCACTGGGTGTAAAGTGGGAGAACCAGTATTCTTCCAATGTATCTGTGGGTTGGAGAGGAAAAACAAACTCATTCTTATCACTGAAGTACATGATTGGTAAAGGTAATTAGTATATTAAAATATATAAGTATATATGAGTATATAAAGATAATTAGTACACTTCTCATGTATTTGAGATTCTAGTGTACTAGTAAATTGGTTCTCTGGAGAGGGAAAGGAATGTCCTTATATGCTGCATATACTAATGGTCCACAGTATACTTGACCATGGTGTACTATGACCATTTTACCAAAGGAAGACACAAGTAAAAGGATATGTTCAAAATGGTTCCAAATCAGGTCAGTTCTCTATAATACATTTTATAATGAAGTTTAAAAATATTAAATCCTAAACTCACGTCTATAATCTATATTTAGGTAGCTGGGATCTCAAGATCTGAGTTTGGTGCCAGACCGAGCAGACAAATCCCAGAGACTCGTTTCTCCATTTAACCAGCAAAAAACCAAAAATGGAGGTGTGACACAATCAGCAGTGTAGTTCTTGAAAGTCAAGCTCAAGCACAGTCCCCAGTAACAGTATAAAAACAGAGATAGACACCACCTAAATGTGCAGATGAAATACTCCTACTGTTTAAAAAGTCAAATGCAAAACCTATACTTAGTACAGCAAGCCTCTTAACAATGTAAAAAGCAAATCACATATTTAGTGATCCTGTACTTTAAACTTCATCTTACCTTTATCACTGTATCTAAAGTGTTTTTGAAAGTCTTCCATTCCTCCAGGTTTGAGCAGATGAACCATCTACGTAATCTTGAAACCAAATACTGTTTCTTCCTATTTTAGTTCATTATACTTGGTTTTAAGTATTCTATTATAAATTTAATAAAACATCTTTTTAAATTATAGTTTATAGAGATCCTTTAAACTATATTGGAGTTTTTTTTCAATCAGACTTACCAATTATTAATTCGACTAGTAATTAGGATATTCACTATAAAAACAATCATAGAAACTTCAATAAGTTTCTTATATATATATATTTTTTTTAACCAATGAAAAGTTGCCAAGTGCCAGTGGCTCACACCTGTGTAATCCTAGCTAGTCAGGAGGCTGAGATCTGAGGATCATAGTTTGAAGCCAACATGGACAGGGAAAGCCATGAGACTCTTAGCCCAATTAATCACAAAAAGTGGAAGTGGAGCTGTAGACTCAAGTAGTAGAGCACTACTTTTTGAGCACAAAAGCTCAGGGACAGAACCTAGAGTTCAATCCTCAGGACTGGCCAAAAAAACCCTGAAGGTTAACCCAAGAAATACTTCAATGTACTAAATGACCAAGTACTGACCAATAAACTTAATCCTATAATCAAGTTATCCAGTTTATAACTACTTTTGTAATATTAAATAATGATGCTATCAATAAAAATCTTACTCTCACCGTGGAAAGCCTCTGAATAAGAGAACTGAGGAACATTAATGTTTTATGTAAACTATTAAAAGGCCAACCAAATCAAATCAAGTTAGATGAAATGAACATTTTTGAATTAGAAAGCAGTATGTAATGTGAGGACCCCAAAAGAAACCCTGGAAACAAAGTCACATTTTCTTCTACAAATGGTTGAGCACTCTAGTTTTATCTTTACTATTCTAAAGCAACAATAGAGGTAAGAAAATATCATTTAACCCTGAAAATACTTTTAGTATGACCTTAATAAAAAAAATTTCATAAAATCAGATAGCAAAAGATTTTTAACTGCAATCAGTGGTCTGTTTATGTTGAAAATGGCTCTAGGACAGGGTAACTGGCTTCAAGTAGGTTGTTTAAACTTTCTGGCTTCATATTTGATTTGTGGGACAAGTAAATAATAGGCACTAAGATCATGCATATAGTCAGTGCCTAACACTTATTAGGTTACCCCAAAATGTCAGACATTTGTATTACCTGGATGAAAGAAAATCTAATCCAGTACCTGCAAATTGCCTACACTGAATGTTGAATATTAAAGTCAAAATTAAACTTCACAAGTCTTACAGAGAAACAAAGTTTTGAAGCTAAAACGTGAGAACCTAATAAACATACAAGGTGTATGAGTCTTGAGTAAATTCTTCCCAGAAAAAAAAATACCTATTTATCAAACTCTTCCAAACATAAACCGTTCCCATTGTATTATCTTTTGACTACTTTTTGTTAATCTTATTTGGTTAATAAGATATTCCACCCCCTTCCTAAGGCTGAAGCCTAAAATTAAAATATTCAAGAAACCAGAAAACTAATCAGTGTTGGATCTCTTTCATCATAAATGGAGTTTAATGTACACGTTGAAAACTTTATACTACCCAGCTTCAACTATTTTTCCCTTTTATACAAATACAAGTTAGTCTATTTCAGTTGCAATTTTATTTTTTAAAAAACTGCAAGGTTATGAACACAAACTTTTAAGAATCTCCTAAGCTTTTTACATAAGTAAATTTCAAGTTCACAGTCTGTTCATTTTGAATTATTTATAATAGGAGACCTTAGTATGGTAGAATCTCAGACAAGAGGTTATTAATTCTGCAGACAGGTAATAAAATGCCAAACCTGAACAGTCACTCACTATTTCCTTGGCTACAGATTGACTACAGAATAAAAGTGAATATAAAATTTTTCCTCTTCTATTACAACTCTATACAACTGTATCCATAACATTGGGAGGGGGGAAGACATACCCTTGGGAAACCTCATCAATTAGAGAAAATAAGGCATATGGAATTATAAGTTAGGGGGAAAAAGCAGCAATGTGCAAGTAAAACAAAACCAGATTCACATTCTATTTACATTTTTTATATTCACAGGTCAGAATTAAAATGTTTCACTAGATATTTTTAAAACACTATTTCAAATCTTCATATTTACTGCATCAATACTGTGGGAAGGAAACAATTTAGAAATGCACTCTAAAGCAAAAGTAGCTTAACTTTGCGGGGCCCCACTGGCCTATCATTTAGATCTTTAATAGCAGCCATAGCTTCATTATAGTTTATCAAAGCAACAATGGCTTCTCCTGTAGGCAATCCTTGCTCATTATACTGTATTGAAATTGAATCAGGTATGATTCTATAACCATGGAAAAAGTCTAAGATTTCATTAACATTAGCTTTAAATGGAAGATTCACTATTTTAACAGGAGTTACTCTACCAGAACCACAATTTAATTTGGGCTCAGGCATAAATCTCCCTTCAGGATAACCTCCCATATTACGCTTTCCAAAATCAAGTTTGCCACCTTCTGGGCGACCAAAATTCACTAAAGGACGATGGCTTCTAAAATCCGCAGATGCACTCCTAAAATCCTCTCCAGGAGGTCTAAAATTATCAGGAAGTCTGGGATCCTCCTCTGGAACGTCCCTGAGGTCCTCCGCAGGAAGCTGCCTGAAGTCTTCGTCAGAAGGGCATCTCAGATCATCTTCCTGGGGGCTCCTGAAGTCTTCATCAGGAGGGGGCCTAAAGTCCTCATTAGGAGGGCCTCTGAAGTCTTCATCTGGCATATGCCTGAAATCTTCCTCTTGGGAACGCCTGAAATGTTCCTGGGGTGGCCGCCTAAAGTGTTCCGGGGGTGGCCTCCTGAAGTGCTCCTGGGGCGGTCTCCTGAAGTGCTCCGGTGGCAGCCGCTTGAAGTGTTCTGGGGGCGGCCTCCTAAAATGCTCCTGGGGTGGTCGTCTGAAGTGTTCCGGGGGTGACCGCCTGAAGTCCTCCTCAGAAGAATGTCTGAAATCTTCCTCAAAGGGTCTCCTGAAGTCCTCCTCCCTATGGCACCTCAAGTCCTCCTCCTCCCAAGGACGCCTGAAACCCTCCTCTAGGGGTCGCCTTAAGTCCTCTTCAGGGGGCTGTCTGAAATCCTCCTCTGGTGGCCCCCTCCAGTCCTCCTCAAAAGGCCGTCTCCAGTTTTCCTCCCGTCTCCAGTTTTCCTCTTGTGGGTGCCTAAAGTCCTCTTGTAGGCGCCGGAAGTTTTCTGCAGGAGGCCGCCGGAAGTGTTCCTCCCGAGTGTGTCTATTATCCTCTGGGGAGAGCCTGAAGTCCTCTGGAGAGTGCCTGAAGTTTTCCGGAGGGTGCCTATTGGGCTGTCGGAAATGTCCCTGGGGATGCTTGAGGTTACCTGGATGCCTTAACTCCTCTACCTGGTATCTCCGGTCTTCAGAAGGGTCATATGAGTATACTGGTGAGTCTTTTGAACCAAATAAATGGCACCGGTCATCTCTATCACGCGACTGGGAACAGGCTTGCATTTTGCCACTGGACATGAAAGAACAATTTATACCAAACTCCTGCATTTGTGCCTCCGTTATAAGTCTTAGTAATACCTCTGTCCCTAAGAATCTTCGGCGATTTAAACGTTCAGCTTTCATAGCCTGTTCTTCTGATTTAAATTTCACCAACGCTTCTCCCAGACCAACTCCTTTGTCATCATAAAGCAAGTAAATGTCATCCTCAGCAAGGGCAAAGCCTGCAAAAAACTTTTGCACCTCCACTTTTGTAACATCAAATGGAAAATTTCTTATATATATACAGAGTTTCTGGCCAGTGTAGTCCTCTTCTAAGTATTTTTGTGAAGCATGTCCAGTTCTCTCTTTCTCTATTGATCCTCGTCTCTTCTTTTCATAATATTCAATGAACTTCAGCATTTGTTTTCTAGAAACTGGGTCAATAAGAACTGGACGATATTGTAAAACAGTTTTATGTAAACTTAATGCTGTATTATAGTCTTTCTCAGTCTTAAACATCACAAAGGCATATCGTGACCTTCTTTCATCCTTGTATAAAAACCTAATTTGTTCATCGGTCAGATCAGTCTCTCTAAAGAAATTTCTCAAATCTCTTTCATCAATACTTAGGGACAAATTTTTTAAGTGAACATAAAATCCAACAGGGGAGCGAGAGCGCGTTCTTCTGGGAGATTTAGAATGAGACCGTTTTCGGAAATGTCTATTATTAATTCCTCTGAGAGGATGTTCTTCAGATCGTACAGGAACACCTTCCTTAATTTCCTTACCACCAAACTCAATCCACTGTTGTTCCGAACCCTGCATTACTTCTATAAATCTTGAACCCATAAAACTTCTATGGCATTTAAGGCCTCCTGATGCATCAATACATGAAGCAAATTTTACTATGGCATCACCATTATTTCGGCCATCATGATGTTTTAAGAAAATGACTCCATCCACACACAGACCAGAGAAAAAGACACGTACGTCATCTTCATTAACTAAGTAAGGCAAACCTCGTAGAAACAAATAAGGATTCTCAGCCTTTGATGGCCTTGTCTTTCTTGGCCTTAAATCATCAAATCCTGTACCATTAGTATGAAATCCAGCATCTTGATTAACTGAAGAGCCATACCTACAATTACTTTCATCTTTCTTCATTGCCTCAATAAAATTAGACCGTTTTCCAACCCCTGATACCCCAGATCCTCGTCGCCCTCTTCCTATACGATTAGTTCTTTTCATTTCTATAGTCTTCTGCATTTCTGCTTTGCTACTAAGAAAAAGCTCTACAGATGAATCTTTGATAAACCCTCCTGAACGACTTACAGCACGTCTTGCATCTTCATCTGTTGCAAATATAATAAAAGCCTCCCCAATTTCCCCTCCAATTATATGCACTCCTCCATCAGGAATAGTCAATCCCTTGAAGAAGTGACGAATATCCACAGGCCCCGCAATAAAAGGAAGCCCCAGTAAACGGATGACTACAGCCATGCTGAGCTCAAACCACAGCAATAATGACCTGCAGACAAAAAGGTACACATAATAGCAAGTCTTATTTCTTAAAGTACCTTAGCCCAAACTAAGCTTAGTAATTACCTGGTACCTGCCTCCTTCAGCATAGATCAATGAAAACAAGATACACATTCACAAAATATTGTTCTTATCTAATTTTTAAGCAAACAATTCACTTTCTCCTGTCTAAACACACAAATAAACCAACTTGAAGTATTTCATATCACCTATCCTTTACAATAGGAACTTCAAAACTTTCACATCTCCTTTGTAAATCTGCAAAATGCTACTTCACAAGACCAAACTACTTTCAGACTCTCAAACACATCTCCTAATGCAAAGTGAGAGCAATTAATTTATTTTACCAACCACAATGAATTTTACATATTTAGAGAAGTCATCTATGGTCAGTATATAATTTCTGCCCATTATATTAAGTTGCCTACCACTAGTATCACTGGCAAGACATAAACAACAGAAGCCATGAGTACTCTGACATATTAAATCTATTTGATTTTTGTCAAGTCTCTGTGAAAAGCCTTAAACTCTGATGTCTTACCTTTTCTTTTTATTTCTTGGAGACCTGTTAATTCTGTAAAAGCAACTTAACTGTGGAAAGAAAATGAAATATAATTAATCTTTGAACCCTGTAATTGGTCTCATGCCAGGGTAGGATATCCATTTCAGAATAACCTACCAAAAGTGAAAACAATTAGAATTATGGGTATAACAAAATCGTTTTGTTTCAAGGAGAAATTAATTAGCCTCTGCAAAAAGTAAATATAAAACCCAAGTAGATATCTTCAAATAATGAACAATAAAAATGTGCTGAAAATTGTACTACATGAGTAGAACTAGCAATGGTAGTAAGAAGCGTGTATTAACTACCAAGCTCATTTAGTTATATATTAAGGTCAATGCATTTTAACGTACAGAAGTTTTATATCCACTTAAAAAACTTCTACAAGTAAAATATCAGTGTAAACACACAATTTAAAAAATCCTTCCCTATCACTCCCCAGTGAAAATTCAAATATCTAGTTCATATTTATACTCATCTCTTGCCATTCTCCTCCCTTACAAAAGACCAACTCAAATTAATAAAGCATCCATTTAACATAATAGCAAAGCTTGAAATTCAAAAATCAGCTTTTAAATAAATCCAAATCAATGGCTTTCCAAATTTTATGATTCCAAAGTAACTAAGATAAATACTAAAAGTCAAAAAATCTCAGCACCACTCTTTACCTGATATGCTTAAAGCAAAACATAAAATGTTGTAACTATGGAATCTAATTATGCCAATAACCTTAAGGCACTTCAACCATCCTGTACAAACACTGAGGAACCTAAATAACAATGTAAAGAAGCAGAAACATACTAAAAATATAATTAACTTGAAATACAAAGATTACCAGTATGAACTCCTAAAATAATTTAAGGAAACTTGTACCCGACACTTTCATGTATATGTGAACTAACAAGACTTAATGAAGTCTCACCAAATAAGACGTGTCAAATTAATAATTATAATTAACATGTCTTTAATGATCAAACACCGCTTTAGTCTATCCCTTACACCCAAGTACCACTATCACACAAGGTCTGAAAGGCTGTCCTTTAAGAAGGATCTATAAACTTTTTGAGCTACAAACTGATCTAGTAAAGATATTCAATTACTTGGTACATGCTACCTCCAAAATCAGTGTGGTTTGCTATTAAAATATCTGCACAGTACTAGAAAAGAAAATGAAGTAATAAGCCTGGTTTCAAAAAAGTGTTCACACTAATATGTCAACAAAAGCTATAAAATGGCTTCTTGGAAACTTGTCCACGTGAAAATTCCAATATTACTATTTAGTCTCTTTTAACTTTAAAAATATTTTGGGAAGCAACATAATGCATGTCATTTTGTCTTCCCTAATTAAAATAAATCCACCTACAAGTAAACATTTTTTCAACAATTGTCAAATTCAAAAACCCTCTAGTAACACACATCCTAACTTAAATTTTATCTAATCATCTTAACTAAGACAATTCGTTTCATTAACACAAATCTCATGAATTCCAATTCAAAACTAGTTTGTTTTAATTTGCCAGTTAAATCTAACTAATGCTTACACATCTTTGACTTTCAATAGTACTATTATCATTTATCCTCCTACAGCAACATCTAGACCACTTCTAATACCAGCTCTCAAAAAATGAGTTTCTCTTGCAGTGCCAACATGCTACAGTCCTTAAGCAAAATCTCCAGAAACTCTATTAACACATTAGACTGCACAAAAATACCCCTACACACACACACACACGAATTACCCTACCTGTAGTTTTTTTCTAGTTATGAATGCAAAAATGTTTGTGACTTTAATGTTGTGATTTAGGAGCACAAGCTCATGTAAGTGTAAGAACATTTTAAGTAACTGCTGGCTTTTACACAGTGACTCATCCTAATCGATCACCAGTGTGGCTAAACAATATGAAATGTGCATCTTCTAATCAAGACTGAGAGGAACCCAGGAGACTGAATTTCACAGGCATTATGTCAGATCCACTTGACTAGTGACTAGCAAGTACAAGTCATTTTCCAGACGTGATGAGGGAGAGTAAAAACTTTTCACTCTTCTTCTGCGAGACTACTTAAACCCAGTCAGTCATCGTGAGGCACATTCAAATTCTACATTCAAATTCTAAACGAGAAGTCTCCCTGCAGAGAAAATCATCATCATCATCATCATCATCATCATCATCTACCCCCAGGCCACAATCATTCTTTCCGACCACCTGCCTTTTGATACGTAGATGGTTAACATTAAAAACCAAAGGCGTCGTGACCACGGCTGGCCATCGATCCCACGAAAACTGTGCGGGGAGATGAGTCCACAGGTGTACAGGAGTTCCCGTTAACTTCCATCGTCGTCCCAAGGCACCGATTTCTCGGCCTTCTGTCAGCACTCCCGGGGGTCGGAGCTTCTTTTGGTCTCCTTCTTCTGCCCTTCCTCTTCGCCAGGCCAAGTTGCTACGACGGGATCGGCTGCGGTCGCCGGACCTTCGGCCACAATCCAGCCTTCCAGTTAACCAGGACCGCCCAACCTCCGCGCCGGTCCGCGCCGGCCGCCCCGGGGCGCACGGCTGCACCCTCACGCGCCATGGGCTCCGCTGGGCCCCGCATCTAGCTGGAACGCCCTTTGACCCCCTGACCCCCGCCGCCCACTTCGAGCCGGAGGAGTCGGGCCTCCCGACCTTCTCCGGCCACCACCAGCTACCATGACAGAGCAAAGGAAAAGGAAATACCTAGGCGAGCCTTCCAGATCTTCACTGTCACGCTCCCCGGGAAGCGCGCGCGCACACCACCTCCGGGAAGCTGACGGGAGAGGGAGAGTCGGGGTACAGCGAGGGAGGGGGCGCCCCGACGCCGCACGGCCCGCGGCCCCGCCCTCCTGCAC